TTGACACTATTTTCCTAATTAATGCTGTTCAGTTGCTTTGTCACAATCTGTATTGTTAAAAGCGCTATATAAATAAAGGTGACTTGACTTGACTTGTACTATAACAGTCTTTTATCTAGAAGAATGCTGTGTTAATTTTCTTAGCAATCTCCACAAGACAGCTGACGGCACATCTGCATTGTCACAATGGCGAGCTCTAAGCACAGTAGGCGTTTGGAAAATACGGCATGACGGTCATCCGCAATGCTCGGCGGACCACCGAATACACAACTCTGTGTCAGTTCACTTAGCAAATGCAATTACGCAACACCCCTGAAGGGCACAAGAGGCCAGGGGCAAAACGACGTCTGATTATTTCATTATCATTATCATTCATCTGGGGAAAAAAATGGGCCATTAAAATGCCTTTCATTTGTGGTCAAATCCAGCTCTGTAAGGCCCGAGTTCCAAAATGCCCACATGTGCATTAATTTACCACCTACACCAGACTGTCCGGCCCCACTCCTATACAAGACCCTTTTTACTGTACCAGACAACAGATGACTCAAAAACCAAAAGCCCTCAGTATTTTCTGATTGCAGCTGTTGTGATTATGCCCTTAAAGGGATAGTTCACCCAAAAATGAAAATTACCCCATGATTTACTCACCTTACTGTTTGAAAAGTTTTAAATATGGATATGTTTCTTACAAAAACGCATCGATTCGCTTCAGGAGGCCTTTATACACCCCCCGGAGCCGTGTGGGACACTTTTTATGATAGATGATGCGCTTTATTGGACTTCTTTTGGACTATTGAAAAATAACACCCATTCACTGCCATTATAAAGCTTGGAAGAGCCAGGACATTTTTAAATATAACTCCGATTGTATTTGTCTGAAAGAAGAAAGTCATATACACCTAGGATGCCATGAGGGTGAGTAAATCATGGGGTAATTTTTATTTTTGGGTGAACTATCCCTTTATAAATGTATTTAACAAAAAGAGGGTGTTCAAGAGGGTGTAAAAACACTGCAACCTCAGGCACATTTAGATTAAAATTAGGACGGAGAAGAGAACCAATTAATTCCTTTTCCCTCCCTCCTAAACGACAAAATGATCCCACAGGATTACGACTATATTGCACTGTAGATCTCATTTATGTGGGACTAATTAACAAGGAGCATTAGTTCCAGCAAAGAAGCAATTACTGAGAACACATCTTAAACAAGTTAATTTACTAGGTTATCAATGCAAATAGCACACTATACTGTCACTAAGATGCTTGCAAAAAAAATGAATAGGAAAGAGTTCCTGAAATATTCAAGCAGTTCAATGTGTGGTAAAAGGGACAATCATATGATGTTAAGGAAGGCGATATATCAGTTATATCAGATCTGTGCTTGCTTTTGGTCTTGTAGGGTTGCTCAATATTGATAAGAAAAACAACCACTCACTGCTCTGAATTTCTTTCTTAATCTGACTGTTTATTTATGTATATTACTTCTCTTATTGTCACCAAGGCTGCATTTGTTAGATCAAAAATATAGTAAAAACAGCAATATTGTGAAATATTATTGCAATCATTTATAATCGTAAATAAATATTTTCTACTTTGATTTATTTTAAAATGCTATTTATTCCTCTTGTGGCAAAGCTCAATTTTCAGCAGCCATTACTCCAGTGTTCGGGGTCACATGATCCTTCAGAAATCATTGTAACATGCTGATTTGCTGCTTGAGAAACATTTCTTATAATTATCAATGTTGAAAACAGTTGTTTAATATTTTTGTGGAAACTGTGATGCATTTTTTTTCAGGATTCTTTGATGAACTGAAAACATAAAAGAACAGCACTTATTTGAAATTTAAATGTTTTGTAACAATATAGAAATATTCACTGTTACTTTTGAACAACTTAATGCATCCTTCCTGAAATTTCTTTAAAATAAATCTTGCTGACCCAAACTTTTAAATGGTAACATATTATTATAGTAATTATAATCACATAATTTGACAGCTACAAACATTATTATCATTTGTTACTATTTATACTATTAGCTTTTTCGATTCTATAGCATTTTAGTAGTTGAGGTATCCGAACTGGCATCAAAAATCATGACATTTCACTACTACTGTTATTGACAATGTAATAAATGTAAAACAAGTTTTTTTAATGTCTATTTTCACTTGAAGCATGCAGAGATTTCAGATTAAAATATCATGCTTCTATATCTATACATCAAGATTTAGGAGCACTAATTGAAAGAAGAAGATCCAAGAATTTAACTCCAATGCAACAATCCCATGCATCTGTCCCTCACCAAACACCATGAGACATAATGCTGTCACGACACTCAGAGCAGCATGCTCTCCGTTAAGCAGGAAGAGTTCACACTCTTCTCAGAGCTCAGATCAGGAGTGTGAACTCTTCTCTGCTCACTGCTGAACAAGCTGCTCTGTCACCAAATGCTGAGAGGCTGGCTGGGACACTAGAGTTGTTAACATCATTTATGACTCATGCACATGTTTGCATAGGACAAGCAATAAACATCAATGGGCCTTTCAAGTGACAGATTTTATTTGATCAAGAAGAAAGAGGTGGTCTGGATTGAAACAAAACCATGTTTTTAGATAAATACCTTCATCATTAAAAGCTCCAGAGTTTTAGTACAATTTCGCACTTTTCCACTAAAGAAGTGAAAGAGAAAGCAAATTAAAAGATTGTTTTACGTAATCTGGTGGTTTCAATCAAGATAATAGTTGTTAATGAACTTGGTGGGTTTTAAACTCTATCAGCCTAGCAGCATCCTGTTACTAATACCGCAAATCTTTAAAACGTTATATTATGACTGATATTTCCGCCAAACTACAGTTTTGTAGCAGTCTCTCCCTTCAGTCCAGCTTTCATACGTTACCCAAAAGCAATGTCTCCCCTTTTTCTGATTGGTTAAACGCAGTGTTGTCTCGTGTTAGCTCACAAAACGCCATAAAAAGTCCCACGTGCATTAAGATTTTAGTTTCACATGGTCTGCTTAACTCATGTCCCTCAGCAATGATGTCCAAAAACGCTGTCTAGGTAGACAGCTCACTAGATTTTGTGATACAGCCAATGACTGCACTCATCTTCGCTTCAAATGCAGGTCAACATAACATAACTTGTCTATGTCTACCAACTGATAATATCCTGCGAAGGAAAGTACACCTGATAAGACAACCGATGAGCTTAAAAGGTGAGAGCTGGCTCTCTCGGTGCTACATTACAAGTCGGGTATTTGAGGTTAGTCAAACAGAATTCGGCCCTTCATACCTTTTTAAGAGCAGCTGCGCTTTTCCTCGTCAGTTAACGTTAGCCTGCTCGCGCTAGCGCTGAAAACCTGATGGTTCTTCTCTCCAAAAGATGACAAGAACGACTCGAGCTTTACAAAAGCAACACTTCACATCCGTTGACCTCTAACGTTCGATCTCATAGCTAATCTTTTCGGTCTTTTTTCGCAAAACACCTAAAAACTCGACGAATGACAACGTATCCACCTCCCTGTCCCACAGATTGGAGCAGCGCTGGCTAACGGCTTTGACAATCCGCTCTTCTGATTGGGGAGCTAAGCCCCGCCCTGCACTCGCTGCGATAAATGCACTGTAGTCGCACTCCAAACAAATGGGCCATTCTATTGGCTGATTGAGCCATCAATCAACACACACTGTTACTGGATTGGCTGAAAGGACATGATTCCGTGCAGAGCCTCTGATTCCGTGATAATTCCTTCGGTTTGTCAAAATACACGTTCGTACACTGCGTAAGTACAGGACTGGAAAAATCAATACTTTTATATCAGACCCCTTTAACTGTTCGTTATATATGAGCTTTAGTTGTTCGTTGTGAGGTCGGTCGATAAATGAGGCAATTAAATGGCTATTGACAAAACACTAAAAGTTATTAATACGCATATTGACACTATGATTTCTCTGAACTTCTCCAAATCATTTCACAAACATCTGCTCAATTCTGATCTAGTCTATTTGCTTTCTCAGTTCAGACTACACAATTAGCATTTATTCTAGGTATAAGACAAGCTTAGAAATGTTATTAAGTGCTGTAAATGGGTTGATGCATAAAGTATCATATACATTTACATGTATGTTTTCATGTTTGCCTGAACGCTTTAAAATTGAGACTTTCTTCAGTTTTTTCCTCTCTTTTATTCATAAGAATAATAAGCATGCATGAGCTGATGTTTTATTTTGTTTTCATTTACTTTGTATGCGTTACAAATTAAACCTCATGAACTTCTTTTTTTTGTGGTTATAAAATGTTTCATTTATTTCATGTGTACGGAAATTACAATTGGTATATTTTGTATTTTCCGTGTTGAATTTACAAAAGCAAAATCTCCATCAAATGATCATTGAGCAAAAAAAAACAAAAAAAAACTTATAAGCAGTGATGCGATATGTAAATACGTTAAGGCCGCTCATTTGCGTACCGACATTGTTGACAGCTGTTAATGTACAATCACTGTTTTAGATCGACTAACTGTCAAACTGAAAACATTCATCTAGGCTGCCGGTTTCAGAGAAAAATGCAAACCTGACATTTCAGAGTTCTGGCGCGCTTCACTCGGCAGCGCACATGCCCAGTATTTATACATGCCGGCAACCCGCCAAAATAAAAGCTTGCTGATTTTAGGTTTGAAAATGATGAAAATTCATTTAAAAAAAGGTTAATATTAGCATTGTATTTTTAAGTGTACTATAAAATAACAGTATTTTTTATTTAATACTCAATTTATTTTTAAATATAATAGTATTATCACACTGATTATTTTGTTTATTATTTTATTAAAATACAAAATAAATAAATGCAATACTACTATTATCACTATTAATAATTATTTTATTTTTATAGTTATATTTAATGAGTCACACTATGTGCTGTGTGAGTACCAAACCAAATCTCCAGGTGCACTCATGAGAACCAGACTGAAAAACTTTTGTGCACCCCTGCTTAAAAGACGTCCACATATTTTGAGACTTTTCATTGGTGCTTCCGACTTAACTCCTGCACTTCCGGGTTAGTGTTGTTTGCTAATAAGAGTCGACTGGAGGTCGTGTAATAAAGTGTGTCCCTGGACTTGGTGACCAGTAATCCGTGTAGTCCCATGGCTACTGCAAAAACATTATTGTTTGTGTAATCGCGCTGTGCTTCTTGAATCAGTCATGTCGCAAGCTTCGTCTGGATTCACTCCGGCTGCTCAAGTCCCACATGGACCTAGTAAGGTAGGCAGTAAATTCACCTGACAGTGTTTATAAACCACATACTGCTCTGTCTCATGCAGAAGTGCTTCAAAAGCAAAGTGTGTGTGCGGTTTTCTGTTTGCAGGATAAATAGTTCGCTGATAGGGAACTTTCAGAAACTTTCCTCACGTATAGTTTTGTCTTCTCAGGGTCCTTTTAATGCCTCGTATATTCCCAATGAAGAAGAGAGGCGTGTCTTCAGAGAGTGCAATTCAGAAAGCTTGTGGTACAGATGTGAGTACTGCTCTACATTTTTGATGAAAGCTGTCATGATTTATTGGCACTTGGCTGTCATTCTGCCCTACATCTTTTCTCCCCAAATTTACTTTGCAAGGTACAGTCTCAAGATGCTTTGTCTTTGCTTGATTCTGATGAGAAAGTACTTGTGAAAGAGACTTCTGAACATGTTTGCTCTCTTGTTTTTTGCAGCCTTGCCTTTTTCTGCCATTGCAATCGCAGCCACTCAGGTAATGGTATCAAGAGGTACGTTCACGTCCTGTATTTTAAAGGGGTCATATGATGCTTTTTTAAAGATCATTATTTGGTGTAACAGAATATGTTGACATGCTTTAATGTTCAAAAAACACATTATTTTTCAAATACTGTACATTATTGTAGGTCCTCTATGCCCCGCCTCTCTCAAACGCTTCGTTTTCTACAAAGGCCCTCCTTCCGACAAGCGCAGTCTGCTCTGATTGGCCAGCTGACCCAGTGCATTGTGATTGGCCGAACACCGCAAGCACTCGTCAGAAATGTAACCCTTACCATAATCGCGAGCTTCATCTTTCAAAATAAATGTAAAGACAGAGCCCGAAAGGGGAACAGTCGCGTGACCGACACAGTGATGAAGCTGGTATGTGTTTGTGATGTGACCCCCTCCCTCTCTCTCACGCTCGTTCGCACACACACACACACACACGATGTGCAAACCTCCGCATTTGAACAGTCAATAGCAAATACTTGAACTAATAAAGTAGCTGATTCAGAAGCGCCATATTGTCATAGAAACACACAGCATCTCCCTGACATGGCTGCTTTAACACTAACTGCGGTTACTGAAACCACGCCTTCTTTCTTTGCGTGCACATTTGGGCGGCATTATGCAAATATTTCCACATAGTGAGGTAGATATGTGGGGGCGTGTTAGAACGAGCCGTTTTAGGGGGGCGTGGCAGAGTTTTAACTTTGATAAAGAATATCTCTTTGGTTTTGAGACTTTAGTCTTTGCAACTTCAGGGATCTTATCTATGCACAATCAGCTTGTAACACTCCAAAGAGAAAGGAAAACTTGAAATCGCATCATATGACCCCTTTAAGTTTTTACTCATGTTTCCCATTGTCATGGGAAAACCTAGAATTATCAGGGAATTTTAAGAACTGGAAAAGTCATTAAAAAGAATAAAATCTTAAGTATTTAGTGAACACATCTTTTCTAGATATACGCAGAGCTCTGGAAAGGAAAATTACTTTAGAAATCAATACCCAGTAATTACAAATGACTATAAAAGTTATAGAGAAGTCGTGGAGAAGGGGTAGTTCAACCAAAAATGAAAATGCGGTCACACTTTACTTTAAGGTCCAAATCTCACTATTAACAAACCATTAACTACAACTTTTGCATCAATAAACTCTCAATTTGCTGCTTTTTAATAGTTAGTAAGGTAATTAGGGATGTAAAATATGTGCTGTATAAGTACTAATAAACAGCCAATATGTTAATAATAGGCATGATAATAAGCAAGTAGTTAATAGTGAGAATTGGTCCCTATCCTAAAGTGTTACCGAAAATTCTCAATCATTTTTGTTGATCCAAACCCATATGACTTTCATTCATCTCTGAAAGATATTTTTAATGAAACCTGAGAAGATTTCTGTCCCTCCATTGAAAGTCCATTCCACCAAAAGTTTAATGCTTCAGAATGTTCATGAAGAGATTGTAAAAGAAATCTATATGAATAGAGTGATTTAATCTAAGGAGACACAATCATTTTGTATGATGAACAGATATAATTTAGGCTTTTGTTCACATATAAACATTTATCAGTGCACAAACATAGAGCACATCAAATATGGTAAACCGAAACTCAACTGTACATGCTCTTCATTTGAGTTCTGAATATGAACAAGTTTTATGGGTTTGGATTTTGGAGGTTAAACATAAAGGGAGCATAAATTCATTTTTCAAAAATGCTAAATCTTATGTTGTTGTTGTTTATCCCTAGGAATCCTTACTCCATCGCCCCGATTTGGCTCTCTTCCCAAAGTTGCGTGTAAGTATCAAGAACAACAGACGGCTCTAATTGTATAAAAGACAACTAAAATCAAGGATATATGGTGAGGGCTATTCAAAGTACCTTGGAATGTTTGTGATTTTTATGCAGTTGCTGGCATGCTTGGATACATTAGTGGGAAAATGTCTTACATGAGGGTCTGTGAAGAAAAGTTTAGGAAACTGGAGAACTCCCCACTAGGAGAGGCACTACGACAGGGACGTCTGCATCACATGCCTTCAGGGTAAGAACAAGTGCACATTAAATATATTTGAATTTCTATATTTTGTTTTATAGTTATAAACATACAATTGCTATTTGTGTTTTTTGTTTTTATTTGTTTCCTTTCACATAAATATACATTCATATATTTGAAGTAATTCACTTTGACCAAGTATCTTACACATAGTGATTAAATAATTATTTTTTAAGGCTAAACCAGTCAGAGTTTGAGGATCCAAACCCATCAGAATCTCAACAGTCTGGTTCTGAGTCTGCGTCCCAACCTTCGACAGAAGGCAGTTCTATGCCTGAGAGCTACAGCAGTTACACCAGTGACTATACCTACAGCAGACCCTCCCAATCATACGACCCCACTCCTTTTAGTTCTGGATTCAGTGATTCTGGTCCCGTTAATATCAGGGATGATATTTCTTCTCAAGGTACTGCCACCCTAGCACACAACAACATGTATAATTGTATAGACCTATATAAATTTGATTACAGTTAGTGAAGAGAAAGGACATTTGTCATTGAATAAGGATTTGTCATCTGATTAGTAGATGTTTAACCAGTAATTTGTCCCAAAGCCCCACTCTATCCAGATGAGGACGTGCCCAAAAAGAAGCCAGTGTTGTATGAGGAACTGCGTAGCAAGAATAGAGAGAACTATGAGGTCACTCTCACACAGAAAGCTGAAACACTGCTGAAACCACAAACAGTGGTGCCAGTAACTAAAAAGGAAGGTGAGCTTTATTAACTGATTTCCCTCTAATTTTAATAGGTCTATATATGTAATGATTATAAAAGCCAATACATTTAGATGTTGTGTTTATCTTGTTGAATATTTAACATATAAGTGACAAAAGTATCCATGAATCAGTTCAGAAACAGTACTGTGTTGGGTTGCCAACTGATGTCCAATGTAACATCAAGGTCCTGAAGCAAGTCCAGTTTTGAACCACTGATGTAGACGATGGCAAATATACACTAGTTGATAGTTGACACTTCAACTGACATGAGTGTTGAAGCTTGACTTAATTTTGCATTTGTATGAATATTGGTCTAGTTAATAAGTATTCTATAATTTCAGTGTCCTTTTATGTTTTAATCTGTAAACCAGTTTCTTCCTTCCCCCTCCAGTTAAAAAGAACAAGTATGGAGATTCTTGGGAAGAGTAAGATTGGCCTGAAGAATCAGCTGTTTCAGGAGCTCAAGATCTGAACGCAGTGACTTCTGTGGAGATGTCATGACTCATTCTGCCAGATTAGACCAAAAGCTGCGATTAAATGCTGAATGTACTTTAAGGAGTAAAACTCCTTTTTTGAATGCAAATGAGTGCAGTTTTTTTTTTTTGATTGCACATTTGGTGTTTGAAAATAAATGTTTCTCCTCTTCACTTCTTGCATTAAGTAGATGTAAGATAAATCATTTTAACAAACTATCAGTGTTTTTATTGATTAGGAAATTCTGGTCAGATGTGCTTGAGATTTGTTAATAAATAAATAAAATGATATAATAACCAATAGATGTGATACTGTTTCACATAAACCCAGAAAATGGGAATGTAATAACAGCATCAAGGGTGATTTTCCACTGACAATCTAGTGCATCACATTGTTAAAGCTGTGCACAAGTGACAATTATGACAGTGTTATGACTGTAGATGTGTTTAGACTTGGACCCATGATTATAATAATAGCGTCATTCACTGATGTTATCTGAGCTGGAGATAAGAGATTAAGATATGCTTGCTCTTTAAATTCTTTTAATGAAAATTCACATTTAAATGTTCCAACATTTCAAATAAAGCCTGTGATATCTGTAATTCGTTCACTGCATATTGATTCTTGTTTGTAAAGGTATTTTTTTTTAAAGTGTCAGATTTGCATGACTTCGTTCTGCAGTACAATATTATGATTCTACTCTGATAAAAGGCAGCTGCTTACTGTAATACAATTGAACAGAAACCTCCACTCCCTTCTCTACATTATAAACAAAAGAAAAGCTGAGCAAATATCATTGGAACGTAACATTATAAGAACTTAAAAAGAGCACCATACTAATTCTTATGAGGTTGATTCATTTGTACCAGATTTGACTACAACAGCATACATTGCTTAGTTACATTGTTCCCTCTAATCAACCTCATGTATAAACTACTTGCAAAAAAAGTTTGTCTAATTTGTCTCGTAGTGTCTTGGCGCCCCCAGCAGGTTAGTAAGGCTTAAGGTTTAAAATTTTAGCTGCTTTGTTTTGCATTATTTTCAAAAGAGCTAAATATTACTGTTGTAATTATTTTATTTTTTCTTTTAAAAATGACATGGGGTAATGAGTGATGTCCTGCGCATTCCAAAGACTCTGCAACAGAAGAATAGATTTAACTTTAGCATTGATTACATTGCATTGTGTTCTCTTAAAGGGGTCATATGATGCGATTTCAAGTTTTCCTTTCTCTTTGGAGTGTTACAAGCTGTTCGTGAATAGATAAGATCCCTGAAGTTGCAAAGACTAAAGTCTCAAACCCAAAGAGATATTCTTTATAAAAGTTAGTACTTGTCCACGCCCTCCAAAAACGCCTCGTTTAAACACGCCCCCACATGTCTGCGTCACTGTGTGGGAAGATTTGCATAACGCCGCTCAAATGTTTACGCAAAGAAAGAAGGTGTACCTTTTGATTCTCGCTGTAGTATTGTTGCTGCCGCTGTTGCCAAGTCGTGGAGACGCTGTGTGTTTCGCTGTGAAAGCGAAACTACTTTGTTTGGTCTTCCAAAAGAGGACACAACTAGAAATCAGTGGTTAAGTACAACACTGTTCCAGAACAGTTCAAACCAAATATTCCAATGTGTGCAACGCATTTTACGGAGGACGATGACTGTTTCCGATCACAAATGCAGACATGGTTTTATGTTTACGCGGTGCGATGCAACGCAATGCGTAAAAAGACAGTATAAGTCATTATAATCCGTAATTATGTCCGCACTGGATGCAACAAATGCCTCGTTTATAATGGGTTTTATTGGTTTTGTCTCGTCGCACCGGGACACGGCATCACAGTATGGTGAGAGGCGTAACATTTCCGTCACACGCTTGAGGTATTCGGCCAATCACAACGCACTGGATAGCTGGCCAATCAGAGCAATGAACTTTTCAGACCGATGAGCTTTATAAAAATTGACGCGTTTCAGAAAGGCAGGGCATAGAGGAGAAACAATAATGTACAGTATGTGGAAAATAATGTGTTTTTTTAACCTTGAACCGCATAAACATTTCATTACACCAAATACACAAAATAATGTTATTTTTTAGCAACGTCATATGACCCCTTTTAACAACACCAGGTAAGGGGTGTTTGGTGGGCATGTGGTTTAGAATGTAAATGAATAGCAGCTGGTGGGTGTGGTTTAGTGTGAAGGTGTTGACTGAGTTGGATCTTTTGTGTGTAGGTATATGGGTGTGTTTGGGTGTGTTGTGTTTCTTCACCTTAGCTCTGAGTGGGTGCATCAGGTGCTGTTGCTGTGGCTTGTGCTTCTTCTTGCTTGCACTTTTCACACACATGGATGCAGTGTCTGTATAAAGGAAAACAACAAAATTACTTCAAAAAGCTCATGACACATGACTAATCCTCATGATACTTACTTATGTCCAGGTTTAGAGCCACCAGGTCCAAATCCAGGAGGACTAAACCCTTTGGCGAACTCAGGTCCCAGTTTACTGTTGAACTTCTCTCTGCAGGTCCCGGCATAGGAAGCTTTGCCTACTGCATAACCCACAATACCCGCCACTGCAGAAGAAAAAACGGATAGATGGATTTGTATTCCAACTGTATTGCCAAATGATACAAAACATGCATACTAATATGAGGTGGGAAATTATTATTCAATAGAGACTTACAAAGCAGTTTAGGGAAATACCCAAATCGCTTGGACTGTTTCCAGACGCCTGTTAAAAAAAAAGCAAACTGGATTATACGTTTTCAATACAGTCCAACAAAAAAAGAAGCCTTTCACACAGAACTCTGCTTTTCCATGGTTTTTCTATGTAAACATGTGCTAAACAGAGTTTTAGCACTCATGTCTTTTGGCTCAAGCAAGTGTTTATAACAGTGTTTCATTCAGAAAGCATAATTTACGATAGACTGTTTTAACAGTGTTATTTTAGTAGCCTACAATGAAAAAAATAGTTTTTATTAATATCTTGAAATTGTTTTATTTTATAAATTCTGTTTTCATCTTATTTAGTTTTAGTAATTTTGTTGATTTTTGTCTTTATATGTGACCCTGGACCACAAAACCAGTCATAAGGACTGAAAATCTGGAATCTGAGGGTGCAAAAAAATCTAAATATTGAGAAAATTGCCTTTAAAGTTGTCCAAATGAAGTTCTTAGCAATGCATATTACTAATCAAAAATTAAGTTTTAATATATTTACAGTAGAAACTTTACAAAATATCTTCATGGAACATGATCTTTACTTAATATCCTAATGATTTTTGGCATAAAAGAAAAATTGATCATTTTGACCCATACAAAGTATTTTTGGCTATTGCTACAAAAATACCCAAGCGACTTAAGACTGGTTTTGTGGTCCAGTGTCACATAAGTGTTTGTGTAGTTTTCATTTTAATTTCAGTTTTTGTTATTTTAGTACATCAAGGTAAACTAAATAATGAAAAATGCTGCCTTGGCAACTAGCTGAAATAAGTTTATTTTTCATATATATATATATTATTTAATCTCAGTTAACATTTAAACAAAACTGCCCAAACTACCCCTGAACTCATGGCTCAAACCCAACAGCTTTGTGTAATGAATGCATGTTTACGTTATTTGTAGGCTGAATCTTACCGCTGTAAATGAGGCCACCAGACACAGCCATGCTGCCGGCAGAGAGTGGAAGAGCTGCGGAGACATTAACAGGTCTGTCTGAGGTTAAAAAGCAACAAATCTAGATCTAAGCATTCAACATCTGAATACCAAATGGTTCCTTTGGTAAATTCAGATTCAGAAGTCACCACTCAATGTAAACACGTAAATTCTCAATTGGAGGTGCAAGACAAGAAGCAATCTGAGGACACTTCAGTGTTTCCAATATGACTTACTGGGGCTCTAGAAATGATTCGGAGGAAGAAATTATTTCTGCTATACTCCAGAGGGGCTGATCAGATGAAATGTTGCTTGTATAAGTGCATTGATGAGGCATCACAGTATGGTGAGAGGCGTAACATTTCCGTCACACGCCTGAGGTATCCGGCCAATCACAACGCACTGGATAGCTGGCCAATCAGAGCAATGAACTTTTCAGACCGATGAGCTTTATAAAAATTGACGCGTTTCAGAAAGGCAGGGCATAGAGGAGAAACAATAATGTACAGTATGTGGAAAATAATGTGTTTTTTTAACCTTGAACCGCATAAACATTTCATTACACCAAATACACAAAATAATGTTATTTTTTAGCAACGTCATATGACCCCTTTTAACAACACCAGGTAAGGGGTGTTTGGTGGGCATGTGGTTTAGAATGTAAATGAATAGCAGCTGGTGGGTGTGGTTTAGTGTGAAGGTGTTGACTGAGTTGGATCTTTTGTGTGTAGGTATATGGGTGTGTTTGGGTGTGTTGTGTTTCTTCACCTTAGCTCTGAGTGGGTGCATCAGGTGCTGTTGCTGTGGCTTGTGCTTCTTCTTGCTTGCACTTTTCACACACATGGATGCAGTGTCTGTATAAAGGAAAACAACAAAATTACTTCAAAAAGCTCATGACACATGACTAATCCTCATGATACTTACTTATGTCCAGGTTTAGAGCCACCAGGTCCAAATCCAGGAGGACTAAACCCTTTGGCGAACTCAGGTCCCAGTTTACTGTTGAACTTCTCTCTGCAGGTCCCGGCATAGGAAGCTTTGCCTACTGCATAACCCACAATACCCGCCACTGCAGAAGAAAAAACGGATAGATGGATTTGTATTCCAACTGTATTGCCAAATGATACAAAACATGCATACTAATATGAGGTGGGAAATTATTATTCAATAGAGACTTACAAAGCAGTTTAGGGAAATACCCAAATCGCTTGGACTGTTTCCAGACGCCTGTTAAAAAAAAAGCAAACTGGATTATACGTTTTCAATACAGTCCAACAAAAAAAGAAGCCTTTCACACAGAACTCTGCTTTTCCATGGTTTTTCTATGTAAACATGTGCTAAACAGAGTTTTAGCACTCATGTCTTTTGGCTCAAGCAAGTGTTTATAACAGTGTTTCATTCAGAAAGCATAATTTACGATAGACTGTTTTAACAGTGTTATTTTAGTAGCCTACAATGAAAAAAATAGTTTTTATTAATATCTTGAAATTGTTTTATTTTATAAATTCTGTTTTCATCTTATTTAGTTTTAGTAATTTTGTTGATTTTTGTCTTTATATGTGACCCTGGACCACAAAACCAGTCATAAGGACTGAAAATCTGGAATCTGAGGGTGCAAAAAAAAATCAAAATATTGAGAAAATTGCTTTTAAAGTTGTCCAAATGAAGTTCTTAGCAATGCATATTACTAATCAAAAATTAAGTTTTAATATATTTACAGTAGAAACTTTACAAAATATCTTCATGGAACATGATCTTTACTTAATATCCTAATGATTTTTGGCATAAAAGAAAAATTGATCATTTTGACCCATACAAAGTATTTTTGGCTATTGCTACAAAAATACCCAAGCGACTTAAGACTGGTTTTGTGGTCCAGTGTCACATAAGTGTTTGTGTAGTTTTCATTTTAATTTCAGTTTTTGTTATTTTAGTACATCAAGGTAAACTAAATAATGAAAAATGCTGCCTTGGCAACTAGCTGAAATAAGTTTATTTTTCATATATATATATATTATTTCATCTCAGTTAACATTTAAACAAAACTGCCCAAACTACCCCTGAACTCATGGCTCAAACCCAACAGCTTTGTGTAATGAATGCATGTTTACGTTATTTGTAGGCTGAATCTTACTGCTGTAAATGAGGCCACCAGACACAGCCATGCTGCCGGCAGAGAGTGGAAGAGCTGCGGAGACATTAACAGGTCTGTCTGAGGTTAAAAAGCAACAAATCTAGATCTAAGCATTCAACATCTGAATACCAAATGGTTCCTTTGGTAAATTCAGATTCAGAAGTCACCACTCAATGTAAACACGTAAATTCTCAATTGGAGGTGCAAGACAAGAAGCAATCTGAGGACACTTCAGTGTTTCCAATATGACTTACTGGGGCTCTAGAAATGATTCGGAGGAAGAAATTATTTCTGCTATACTCCAGAGGGGCTGATCAGATGAAATGTTGCTTGTATAAGTGCATTGATGATGGATATTTTACATCTTATTTTACCTTCCAATTCTACATATTTGGTTACAATGGACAACTGGGTCACAGATCACTGTCAGTGCTAAACAGCTGGAAGACTTAACATGAGACTTATATTTCCCCCAACAAAAACAGTGCTAGGGTAAAACCAAATTCCAGCCATGTCAAAATATAAACACTGGATAATAAAGGCAGCACTGCTTTGCTCCATTAGCCCTTTTTTTGGAAAAATGTTCTGGAAAAACATGCACACACCTGTCAAGTCCTTTTTACAAAAGCAAACAACCTGTGAAGATCATTCAGAGGGGAACCTCTCAATGTTTTGTCCTAAATACACATTTTTAAAATATAATGCAACCTGTTCCCTTTACTTGCAATTTAATAGATTTAATTAGCCTAAACATGACATTTTGAAGTAAAAAGACTGAAATGGTATTTTCTTGGAAAATGTACTCCTTGTAATCTTTGTAATACATATCGAACAAATGGTTTAACTGAACAGAACAAAAACATTATGGTCTATCTCCATTAAAGGGATAGTTAACCCAAAAATGAAAAATATGTCATTATTTATTCACCCTTTTTTTCTTCTGTGGAACAATATGTAATGTAAGTCTATACGTAAGTCAACCAAAACAGTTTGGCTACCAAAATTCTTAAAAATATCTTCTTTTGTGTTCAGCAGAAGAAAGAAAGTCATACAGTTTTGGAATGACATGAGGGTGAAAAAATGATTATGGCATTTTCATTTTTGGGTTAACTAAGTGTAAATGGTGTGTGGTAAGTGGGTGTAAATGCGCACAATTGTGTCTATGTATCTTTACCTCGATACCAGAAGCTCTCGTACTGACACTCCTTCCATATCTTCTTTATATCTTCTCTAGGAAAGTGTGGATCAGCTATGGGGCACTGGAATTGCTGTAACAACAAAAAAGGTCAGAGAAAAGGAACATCCTCTCTTAGTGGAGATGCTTGGGTTACAGGAAGCCCCCATTCATCAAGCTATTTGCCTATGTTAAACAATCATCCAGTGGTACTTTGAAACCTGGTGGCTGGTTTCAAAGAATATTCTGTACTTTTGAGCACATTTCTAAATGTGTCTAAAAACTTTATTTACAGCTTTCTGGCTCTGTGTTAACCTGGTGACCATACAGCAAATGCAGGCTTGATATCACAGGAATTGAGGTGAACATCTGTTGCTATGCAGTCTACATGCTATCAACCACATGAACGTTGGTCTGAACAAACATTCAAATACTAAACGTGAATTTTAGCTACTTATATTGAGCTTTGACACAAAGAACACTGCTCTCAATGAAGGCCTACATTAATGTTAAAGATCTTTGTATTCATTATCATAAGCAGCTACATGAATATTTATCTGCAGTCTTTCTGAAAGATAAACAAACCTCTCAACACTCTCTTACCTTCCACCCAGACTGACCAGGTTTTCTGTCCACCACTCCTTCTCCTCCTGTACTCTGATTTCCTTCTGTACTCATGTCTTTTTCATTCATGCGCTCCTCTCTTTTCTATTTGTCTGCTATGCTTCTTCTTCTACTACGTAGTAACTCTTTTTGTGTGTTTTTTGACCTCATAGAGCTCCTCCTCTCCGTCGATAGCTGTGTCATGCACCTCCCATTGGGGGACATGCTGTAATGTCCTGTAGTTTCAACCCAAATCCTATGTCATGGTTGCCTTGCAAATTACACACAGGTGAACATTGTGCTATGCTATTTTAATTTATATTTTAATATTTGAATTTATAACAATAACTGGATTTTGTGTTTTATGAATTGTGTTCATATGAATAGTTTTGAAAAAATATGTAGACGTAATGATTTGAACCCTTCACCCATTTCTGTTCTTTATAGCACTAGCAGTGCTGCTAAGACATATTTCATCATGCTTAAAAGACAATTAAAATAATCTGCCGAAGCATGAAGATAAACATTGAAAAGAAAAACTGGTGTAGGATTTACTTTGAAACAATTTTTCACACAGAAATCGGTAGTAAATTTCACAAATAATTAAAAACAAACAACTAACATTGTATTAAGCATTACATTTTTAAGTAGAAATATTTTCCTGAAAGACACACTCCAATAATCTTTTTATTTACAACTTTGAAAAAACATTTTTAATAATGTATCTTCTACATCTTCAAATGATGTGATATGATTTAACCTTCAATTGCTTATGTTTCACCAATGTCAAAATTTCCTTTCAGTGTCATCTGTGTGTAAAGTGTGCCGATTTCCTGTTTTGACACGTACTCTTGTCAGGGAGCTCACCTCTGTCCAACATTCACTGCCTGCTCTGATAAATCTTTATCAGACAATATTAGCCTAGTTAGACACACCCTTGGCCACATTAATACTGCTTTAAAGCACTGTATCTCCCATTTTCATAAATGTGGAAGAATAGGTTATAGGTTATAAACACTGCTTCAAACTTTAGCAGTTGAGGGCCTGACCAATCCAAGAAAGCCTTTTTGAAGACATTTGTTATTTTCAGGTCATAAAGCAGCAGGAAGATAAGAAAGAGGAAACATTAATAGACTTCCAGATAAACATTAATAGCCTTCCAGATAAATAAGGGTGCATCAACTCAGATTTGCAATAGCTTGCTTACATGGCTTGGCAATTTTATATCTAAATGCTGTACTTGAATCTACAAACCACAGAGAGAGAAATGACATTCATTCTGAGGTCAAATATGGAGACACACGTTGTGTCTATGATAAAACTACATATTCTAAATTGTGAAAACCCTTTACATGTCAATTTCAATAGACATGAATATTCAAAGTCACAGTTTTCTTATGTTTATACTAACACAGAATGCTTCTATTCACATGTGCTTTATTAAATACACATGACAGTGAATCCATCTTTGTTAAAAAATTTAAAAACTGGCAAACAGTAACGTTGGTCCATGGCAAGTAAAGCAATGTGTCTTTTTAAAATGAACATTTTAAACATATTTTGCATTTCTTGTCTGCTTCATTCAAAATTACAGAAAAGCGAAATGACAAAAAGAGTTAGAAACCACTTGTATACAGGTGCATCTCAATAAATTAGAATGTCATGGAAAAGTTCATTTATTTCAGTAATTCAACTCAAATTGTGAAACTCGTGTATTAAATAAATTCAGTACACACCGACTGAAGTAGTTTAAGTCTTCGGTTCTTTTAATTGTGATGATTTTGGCTCACATTTAACAAAAACCCACCAATTCACTATCTCAACAAATTAGAATATGGTGACATGCCAATCAGCTAATCAACTCAAAACACCTGCAAAGGTTTCCTGAGCCTTTGGGGTGCAATGTCATTTGCTGGTGTTGGTCCATTGTGTTTTTTGAAAACCAACATCACTGCACCTGTTTACCAAGACATTTTGGAGCACTTCATGCTTCCTTCTGTTGACCAGCTGTTTGAAGATGCTGATTTCATTTTCCAGCAGGATTTGGCACCTGCCTACACTGCCAAAAGCACCAAAAGTTGGTTAAATGACCATGGTGTTGGTGTGCTTGACTGGCCAGCAAACTCACCAGACCTGAACCCCACAGAGAATCTATGGGGTATTGTCAAGAGGAAAATGAGGAACAAGAGACCAAAAAATGCAGATGAGCTGAAGGCCACTGTCAAAGAAACCTGGGCTTCCATACCACCTCAGCAGTGCCACAAACTGATCACCTCCATGCCACGCCGAATTGAGGCAGTAATTAAAGCAAAAGTAGCCCCTACCAAGTATTGAGTACATGTACAGTAAATGAACATACTTTCCAGGCCAACAATTCACTTAAAATGTTTTTTTTATTGGTCTTATGAAGTATTCTAATTTGTTGAATTGGTGAGTTTTTGTTAAATGTGAGCCAAAATCATCACAATTAAAAGAACCAAAGACTTAAACTACTTCAGTCTGTGTGCACTGAATTTATTTAATACACGAGTTTCACAATTTGACTTGAATTACTGAAATAAATGAACTTTTCCGCGACATTCTAATTTATTGAGATGCACCTGTAGATATACCACAATTGATTTGAGAATCATTCCTATCTCTTAACATCTTTTAAAGTGGTTGATTCTTTCCACAAACATTTTTAATGTGTGAAAGATTTTTGAAAAGAAACAAAACTGCGATTAATCTGTAAACATACATCACAGCGTGTTACAGGCACCTGACTGCTGAGAAAAACTAAATACGACATACGAAACCAACTTATACAAATATATTTCTTTCATTAACAGAGAAAATAACGCACTTTGAAAAGTAGCATCAAAAAAAAAAAAAGATTGTGTTTCTCTCCACGGAAGTATTTAATAAAGAAAAGAAAAATAGATATGATTTATAAAGAAACATGAGTGTTATAAAGGAGTAGTTCACTTCCGGAATGAAAAGTCTGTCTTCATTTACTCACCCTCCACTGCACCAGTAAATCTGAACAGTTGATTCGCACCATTGACCTCCACAGTATTTTTTCCTACTTTGGAGGTTAATGGTGCCCATAAACTGTTTGGATACTTTCATTTTTCAAAATATCTTCTTTTGTATTCAACAGAAGAAAGAAACTCATACTGGACGCTTCTAAACAAGTGAATATTGTGTGACTCATATGAGTTTATGAATTTGCAGTAAACAGTATATTACACAAACTTTAAAAAAAATTCATATAACTCTTGTCTAAGATATACTTCTTCATACATACAACATAATCACATTATCAAATTTAATTGTATTTCTTTCTTTAACATATTAGACAGCCCCGTATGCACAGGGCATCAAAAAATTAAATTATACTCATATCATTCCTCCCCACGGAAATCTTTAGTAAAAGGCGAAAGATTTATACGATCTGAGGTGAAACATGAGTGTACTGGCTGAGAAGTGCTCCGGGTTCAGTAAGAGAGAAGTGGAGACACAAACATCAATGACGGCGACCCCATAGCGACCATTACAAATAACACCAACTAAATTAATACATTATAATAAACAAATAAATCTACCATAATTGATATTTAAGATGCATATAAGCGCATAAAGCACTAAATATGATAATAATAATTTAAAGTTACGCGTGCAATGCATCTTGGGAGTTCAAACCGCGTGTCTGCGTTAGCCACGTGACTGTCTTTAAACGCCCCTCCCACTGACTTCTATATGAATGATACTGTGCTGTGGCCCCGCGACACTTTTCTTTCTTATGGTCACGCCCATACAGTCTATGGTCACTCCCCGTTTTTGTTTTCTGTGGTTCACAAGATCGGAACTTTAAAACAAATTGCCCTTATACAGCTGAATTATAAAAAACACACGATCATCGCCATTATATAAACTGTAGCTATTCTACACAACTATAAATGATCTCACTCGGCTGTTTTTCATTTTCATAGAGCTATAATAACGACACAAACTAATAAAATGACTAATAAAATAACTTGTGCCCCATTGCTCTACGTGTATATGAATGAATTCACGTGGTATTTACATATAGGGATATTTCACATAGGCCTAGTCCTCTATTTTCCAATAAATGCGAGATACTTGAACTGGGGTTAGTGGTCTTATCATTTTAATAATAAAAAAGTATGTACCAGCTTTATTTAAACAAAGAGAATGTATGAGGTAAGAGAAACAAGCAATCAACAGATTGTTGGTATGAATCTTTTAACCTCACTTTATAAATTGAATAAACCTGTATATAACTAATCAACCTGCCTGCATTACATCCTCACAGTGCTGTGCTTCCCATCTCTCTGCTAAGACTTCCATCAACAGGACAGAGCACGGTTAGAATGATTAACCCCCAATTACGGATTCCCCCATAAGTAGCTGAAAACCATAAGACTGGGAAACTCTTTTTTTTTTACCTCGTCTCCTCTACTAGTACAGGGCTTTTAAACATTTCAGTAACCAGCTAATCAAGGAATAGTTTCCACCTGCTTCACTAGATGCTGGTCAATTGTTCGCTTGAAAGTGTAGCAACAGGACAGAGCACGGTTAGAATGATTAACCCCCAATTACGGATTCCCCCATAAGTAGCTGAAAACCATAAGACTGGGAAACTCTTTTTTTTTTACCTCGTCTCCTCTACTAGTACAGGGCTTTTAAACATTTCAGTAACCAGCTAATCAAGGAATAGTTTCCACCTGCTTCACTAGATGCTGGTCAATTGTTCGCTTGAAAGTGTAGCAACAGGACAGAGCACGGTTAGAATGATTAACCCCCAATTACGGATTCCCCCATAAGTAGCTGAAAACCATAAGACTGGGAAACTCTTTTTTTTTTACCTCGTCTCCTCTACTAGTACAGGGCTTTTAAACATTTCAGTAACCAGCTAATCAAGGAATAGTTTCCACCTGCTTCACTAGATGCTGGTCAATTGTTCGCTTGAAAGTGTAGCAATAGTGGACAGCTTGAGTCCTTTCTGTTTCTTTCATCAGCCGAGGGAACTTTGACAAAACGTAAATACTGACATGTCATTTTATTATAGATTTAAATACTATAAATATATCACAAAACCATAGTTTGTTGGGTTCTTTGCTGGCATAGACCTTAGTCAAGGTAGCACCATATTTCATCTCTCTGACAGGAATGAACACAAGGCTGGAAATGCTGCTCGAGGATGGGTTCAGTGGATTGTACTAGGCCAGGGGTAGGCAAGTTCGGTCCTAGAGAGCCACAGTCCTGCAGAGTTCAGCTCCAACCCTAATCAAACACACCTGCACAAGCTAATCAATGTCTTCAGGATTACTAAGGCTACAGGCAGGTGAGTTTTGTTTTCAGGGTTGGAGCTGAACTCTGCAGGACTGCGGCTCTCTAGGACCGAACTTGCCTACCCCTGGCCTAGGCTATTGCTTAACAACATACGGATTGCTCGGCTGACGAAACATCTTTCCAATAGATTTTCAATAGGCATAAATAGCCTAAATAAAATAATAAATCAATAAATAATAATAAAACAGTTAATAAAACAGTTTTTGAAAGTAGTGAAAATTGCATGTGATCTAAGACCTTTATACGGCACACTGTAAAGTCTCCCAGCCTTGCTATCATCCACGTAAAATTTAATATGGTCTATGCTAAGGTCTGTGGTTCAGTGAAGAGCCTTTTAACATCCATGGAAACGACTGCACACTGCACAAAAGATTCTTTATAGTGGAAAAGGTTTTTCATATTATTAAAATGTTCTTCACACTAAAAAAGTTTCTTTTATTAACTGCTTACAGAAAGGTTTTCTTTGTAAGAGTGTAAGGACACAATGAGCCATCTGTGCTAGGAGGCGCCAAGAGACCTGAGAGAAATGCGAGATACTTAAACTGTGGTTAGTGGTCTTATATAATAATAATAATAATAATAATGATGATGTAAGAGCTTTAACCCTTTAACGTTCACCCCTTAAATGAGTTAATGAAAAAAATATTTAACTTAAAATTCTTATTAGTAGACATCTAATAAATAGCCCTATTCTTATTAGTAGACATCTAATAAAAAAGCATCTTTTTAAATTTATGTTTTATTTAAAACTCTACCAGTCCATGGTACATCTTGATTTAAATTCAGAGAACTATTTCTATTAGTTATTTTCCAATAATAAACATTCCTTTAACTTTATTAGTATCTTGGATACATTTCATAGCATTCAGAGTCCACAAAGATAAAAAATTATATTTAAGCCTCTCTGATGTCCTTTACAGACATATCAACCGTACGGTCACGCATAATTTTGCATAATTAGCCTATGGTAAATAAACATTTTTGCATTTCTCATATATTTTGCTATATTTCTGTTCTTTGCCCTCTACCCTATTCACAACAACATTATAGTTTCATCCCTACTTCCTTGATTGCTCGTTTGAACCTATTATCTGATGACTGACCTGCACCGTTCTCTCTTCTGTGTGACTGACTGAAGTTTGTACACTGCTGCTGTCACCTGAAAACTGGAAATCCCCAAACCCCCCATCATGGCAACAGCAGACACAGAGATGGGGCAGTGCAGCTGTGGAAAGATTGCTCTCTCATCTCTTCCTTTCGATAGATTTATTCCCTGTCAAATTAAGCTCAGCCGTACAGTAGAAATATCAGTTAAAGGGTTAAAATATATAATTCCAAATAGATAAATACAAAATCGCACAAATCAACCCTGCTCATTCACGCAAATCCTATCTGGCGACACATAGTGGTCATATAGGCCTACTACGCTGCTGCACTGAATCACGAATAAACCCAACTGACCCAACAAGATCCAAGTAGATGTAACTGCAGACCGGAGATCTCCAAATGGGGGCGGGATCTCCAAAACGGGGTGGGAGCTCCAAAACAGGGCGTGGCTTCCTCCCATTGACACGCATGCGCACTTATTCCTCCAAGCCACTTCATTGCAAACTCCGCCCCACAGCTGATTCTAAAGATTTTATTGGTTGTGTCAATTAAAGTGTTGATTTCCTACACTATGCTACAAAAGATGCTAACCCCTAAACCTACCCCACACCTGACCGTAACGTTAACCAGTGAAATTGACTGCACGGTGGGATTGGCGCTGAACAGCGTGGTAAAGAAAGATGCAGTTCAGGAGATAAACAGTTAATAAGATTACGCGATATATGAGATCGTTCCGTAACTCCCCAACCGGACCTCACCGGACAAAGACCATGTAACACTAAGCACATGGTACGTTTTACTGAAATACACTGCATATAGCATACACAAATGGAGATGCTAGGCACACTGATCACCATTTGCCTTTATAGTATCTATTGTCAATAAATACATTGCAAGTGAATGGTGACTGAAGTTGCCAGTATGCCCAACGTCTTATTTTTTTGGTCAACAGATAAATACTGATTCTAAACAACATTAGGGTCAGGAAGTGATGATGATATTTGGGTGTGAACAGCCTTTTAATCTCAATGACTAACATAATTGTGGTTCCTGGATCCTTCAATTGACTTTAGCAACTTTTCATTGAAATGTTTGGATGACAGCAGCGCAGAAACAAGCAAAAGCAACCTCGTTCTGTAATGTTTTTCACTGTATTCTCTCACCATTGTTTTGTTAACCCAAGTGGGCTCTGTGTTGGTGCAAAGCTGAGCCAATAGCGTATCATCGTGGGCTGGCTTTCTGCTATGCACGAGGAAACTATTGTAACTGATGTGCGTCGAGGGCAGGGGCTATGGAAGCGTTTTAACCAATCACGTTGGTTTAGAGGCGGGATGTAGACAGTGCGCTTGGGCAGTGTATTTGACACTGCTCTCGACCAATCAGTGACACGAGTGGGCGTGGTGACTGAAAATTTCGTCCATCTAAAAAATTTGTGGGCATGTATAATATTGACATGTCCCGCCCACTGGCCGGTCTGCAGACTCACACAAATACAGTTGTGTGTTTCATAAAAATGCACTCAGATGCGTCAAGTAAGTACAATAGTGCGTTTTCACTGCTATTCGTATTCTGTCGACCTGTGATGGCAATTGCGAACTTGCTGCACCCTGACAGGTCGCCGTGACTTCTTTTAAGATGTATGATTCGCTGTATTGACGCATTTTGTGAGTGAACTAGCCGTTACCCGAGCATACAAATCATCAGATTGACTCCGAGCTTGCTAGCTGCTCTCTTTGTGTTTTTACTCCGGTGTCTTGGGCGCTTGCAAGCGACAACGACCTTGCAAGGAATAACGCTGCATTTTAGGCTTCTTTGCTCGAGTATATACAGAAATCCGAGCAAGGTATCTGATCCTATTTACACAATACACTTGTTCACTAATTACCTTTAATACCCAAATAACCTTAAGGGATCCATCTCATCACAACTCGAGCGAGCGATGCAAAGCAACCGAAGAGCAAGTGAAAGATTGTTGTTTTAGAGCTAAACGGGTCAGTTTTTTTTCGAGAAAACTGCGGAAAAATGACAGGGGGTGAAAATTGTGACGCAGTTGTGTAAAAAAATAGTGCTTGCAAACACGTCGAGTATGATCTGGCGCATTACTGTACGTCCCTCTGAAAGATCAACTGCATATCGTTGTGAAAAAATATCTTTGATCAAAGATAGAAAATCTTTTTTGCAGCATTTGGGTCGCATTCATCAGTTGGGGGAGAGTACCGATTGAAATTATGATTTGAGGAATTATGGGAAATGTAGTTTATTCACCTGAACCATTTCATTGGCAAACGCAGGAGTTGGTTGTCGTTAGACTACATTCCCCAGAAGTCCACAGACGCTTCAAATACTTTGTAAAGTCGTTGCAAGTTTTTTTCTGCCACATAGTTCACATATGAGCGCAAACATGCGCTCATATGTGAACTATGTGGCAGAAAATCTTATTTTCAACTGCAGTCAGTATAGAGATGTGAATGTTTGAAATGTGTTGGTGTGAATGCGAATAATACAGTTTCTTACATGTTTGGGGTATTTCATATCCACTGACATTCCTGACAACTGCGTCACACGTTCACAAATAGTCTCGTTTTATGTCGAGTTTGCTTTAATTATTCCCTGGATTAGACTCTGTTTAAACTGGATGTCTTTCATCAACTCTGAATTTAATGTTGTCTCGGGGGCTTGTCTACTCGCTCATCGCTTGTATAGAAAGGCCTGCACCGATACGTAATATTTTAGATCCGAATAGCGTGAAGGTGGAAGTTTAAACGCAATTTTTTTCCCCCAATCCACTTCATTGCAAACTCCGCCCCACAGCTGATTCTAAAGATTTTATTGGTTGTGTCAATTAAAGTGTTGATTTCCTACACTATGCTACAAAAGATGCTAACCCCTAAACCTACCCCACACCTGACCGTAACGTTAACCAGTGAAATTGACTGCACGGTGGGATTGGCGCTGAACAGCGTGGTAAAGAAAGATGCAGTTCAGGAGATAAACAGTTAATAAGATTACGCGATATATGAGATCGTTCCGTAACTCCCCAACCGGACCTCACCGGACAAAGACCATGTAACACTAAGCACATGGTACGTTTTACTGAAATACACTGCATATAGCATACACAAATGGAGATGCTAGGCACACTGATCACCATTTGCCTTTATAGTATCTATTGTCAATAAATACATTGCAAGTGAATGGTGACTGAAGTTGCCAGTATGCCCAACGTCTTATTTTTTTGGTCAACAGATAAATACTGATTCTAAACAACATTAGGGTCAGGAAGTGATGATGATATTTGGGTGTGAACAGCCTTTTAATCTCAATGACTAACATAATTGTGGTTCCTGGTTCCTTCAATTGACTTTAGCAACTTTTCATTGAAATGTTTGGATGACAGCAGCGCAGAAACAAGCAAAAGCAACCTCGTTCTGTAATGTTTTTCACTGTATTCTCTCACCATTGTTTTGTTAACCCAAGTGGGCTCTGTGTTGGTGCAAAGCTGAGCCAATAGCGTATCATCGTGGGCTGGCTTTCTGCTATGCACGAGGAAACTATTGTAACTGATGTGCGTCGAGGGCAGGGGCTATGGAAGCGTTTTAACCAATCACGTTGGTTTAGAGGCGGGATGTAGACAGTGCGCTTGGGCAGTGTATTTGACACTGCTCTCGACCAATCAGTGACACGAGTGGGCGTGGTGACTGAAAATTTCGTCCATCTAAAAAATTTGTGGGCATGTATAATATTGACATGTCCCGCCCACTGGCCGGTCTGCAGACTCACACAAATACAGTTGTGTGTTTCATAAAAATGCACTCAGATGCGTCAAGTAAGTACAATAGTGCGTTTTCACTGCTATTCGTATTCTGTCGACCTGTGATGGCAATTGCGAACTTGCTGCACCCTGACAGGTCGCCGTGACTTCTTTTAAGATGTATGATTCGCTGTATTGACGCATTTTGTGAGCAAAGTAGCCGTTACCCGAGCATACAAATCATCAGATTGACTCCGAGCTTGCTAGCTGCTCTCTTTGTGTTTTTACTCCGGTGTCTTGGGCGCTTGCAAGCGACAACGACCTTGCAAGGAATAACGCTGCATTTTAGGCTTCTTTGCTCGAGTATATACAGAAATCCGAGCAAGGTATCTGATCCTATTTACACAATACACTTGTTCACTAATTACCTTTAATACCCAAATAACCTTAAGGGATCCATCTCATCACAACTCGAGCGAGCGATGCAAAGCAACCGAAGAGCAAGTGAAAGATTGTTGTTTTAGAGCTAAACGGGTCAGTTTTTTTTCGAGAAAACTGCGGAAAAATGACAGGGGGTGAAAATTGTGACGCAGTTGTGTAAAAAAATAGTGCTTGCAAACACGTCGAGTATGATCTGGCGCATTACTGTACGTCCCTCTGAAAGATCAACTGCATATCGTTGTGAAAAAATATCTTTGATCAAAGATAGAAAATCTTTTTTGCAGCATTTGGGTCGCATTCATCAGTTGGGGGAGAGTACCGATTGAAATTATGATTTGAGGAATTATGGGAAATGTAGTTTATTCACCTGAACCATTTCATTGGCAAACGCAGGAGTTGGTTGTCGTTAGACTACATTCCCCAGAAGTCCACAGACGCTTCAAATACTTTGGAAAGTCGTTGCAAGTTTTTTCTGCCACATAGTTCACATATGAGCGCAAACATGCGCTCATATGTGAACTATGTGGCAGAAAATCTTATTTTCAACTGCAGTCAGTATAGAGATGTGAATGTTTGAAATGTGTTGGTGTGAATGCGAATAATACTGTTTCTTACATGTTTGGGGTATTTCATATCCACTGACATTCCTGACAACTGCGTCACACGTTCACAAATAGTCTCGTTTTATGTCGAGTTTGCTTTAATTATTCCCTGGATTAGACTCTGTTTAAACTGGATGTCTTTCATCAACTCTGAATTTAATGTTGTCTCGGGGGCTTGTCTACTCGCTCATCGCTTGTATAGAAAGGCCTGCACCGATACGTAATATTTTAGATCCGAATAGCGTGAAGGTGGAAGTTTAAAATGTTTGCTAAATGAATCATATGCGTATGTAATTTTCACATCGTTAAGTCAGTCATTAATTTCTCTAAAAATGCGTAATACTAACCTAGTTTTCGTGCACCAACACATGTTTTATCCTTTGAATATTGTATAAGGTTTTTCCATTCCGACTGAAGTCAGAAACAGTCTAATAAATACCAAATAATTTATTATTAATATTATTTGAAAACAAACAAATAAACAAAACGTACAGCAAGTTAATGTAACAGAAGAAAAGTTAAATTAAATATAACCAGTAAGCATTTAGTAGGGACATTGGTGCCTGATCCACCTTCGTCATGTTATTAATTTAATTAAAACAAATGATAATAAGAACCATACACTTCAATTAGGGCTTCTTTATGCTTTAGAATATGTTATTTGTTCAATTGCACTGCATGAAGACAGTTCTTAGACACTGAGGTCTAGTGGACCTTTAAAAAGATGCCATCTATTCATATCAGAATATGCTGAATGAAAAACTGCGGATCTAAAAGTAAATTAAAGACTGAAAGGGAATCGGCATTACTGACTTTCTTTGAAAACAATTCAATTTCATCACGTTATCACGTACAATGAATCAATGCATCTTTTGAAGTGTTAGGTTACAAGTTTCTGGAATATTGCTGTGTACTTTTTGTGCAACTGGAGTTAAGTATACACTTGCAAGCCTGTTTCAATCTGTGTTTGGGTCTCTGTGTATATACCTTCTCAAATGTATCTAATCCCAAATCTTGCATTCATAAATTTTTCTAGATACAAAAGATTCACTATGACCTGATATTTACATGCTAGAGAAATATGACCTCCACAGTGGCATTTACTTTCTTGATGAAACCATACTTGATAATATAAAGATTATGGATGACAGTGTTGGTAGGTGGCTATCTTCATGATGAAGACACATAGAGCAGTTAAATGTATACTGTATGCATTAGACTATTAGAAACACTTCAGCATCTCACATGGCCTCTCATATTTCTGTCGCTATACAGGCTGACTGGAGCAGATGCTTCTTTCCCATATCCTCAATAATTTCAACATGTAGACTGAAGACACTGTATGAACATATATACACAACACAACAAGCAACACACAAACCTATGTACAGTCCAGATGCGTACATAACTACCAGGAGTAACAGATGTTTATTTTTGTACGTCCCTCACAGATTTCCAGCTGAACTCTCATTTGTCCACACTGGCCAGTATCCATAAGATCTACCACACCCTGCACAGGCTGGTAAATATGGACTCCGTCTGCATGCACTTAAATATCCATCAGCTTTATTGCCAGATTTAACATTAACGCCTTTAAATAATTTAAACCAAGAGTATTTTTACTGGTGGGATTTATGCACATTTTCATGTATAGTTCATCACTAGATGATTGATTCTTTTGTTTCAGTGTGATTCTGGCAGGCAGGCCAATAAACCAACCTGGAATCAACAAAGCATTCAGTTTTATTCGAAACATGTTTGCTTTAAGGTCCCTACCAAAGTACAGGAACCAATGTATCAAGACTGATTTCTGTGTTGTTTATTATGTGAACGCAAATCAAAACGCATGGATCAAACTCTCTGAAATACCAGATTTGTTCTTTGCTGAAGTTGAATCCTGCGAATAAAGATTTATGATTACGATTTGAAAGCACTTGGACATTTGTTTGATTTGTCAACCTTCAAACTCTCTTCAAACATGACTTTTAAAAGAGAAAACCTTTTAAGAGGCATTAGAATAGATCATTTATAACCATGACTAGGTGGGTTATGCAGGTTTTTAGACAAAACTGTCCTGTATTTGTTAAAATAGCGTAATCCATAATGTAAAATACTTTTGACAATAAAAAACTTCTAAACAAATAGGCAACGGATAGCAGATGAGTAGAACTACAGTATATATAGATATAGATATATAATATGTATAATTGCATGCAAAATTTTGCAGATGTGATGACCGCTGACATTGTAGTGTGAATATTATTAGATCAGGCCATAAATCCTCTGTTCCCTTGTTGCTCTTATATTGAGATTAATGCAAAAGCTGACGGTGCTGTACTGGCCGGTGTTGCCTGTCTTGGTAGATTAGCATTGTAGGATAGCAGTGTTTGGTCATATGTGAGGTTAGGACACTCAAAGGCATTATTACATATAGGGATGCACGATATATCGGCCACCATATCGGTATCGGCCGATAAATGCTCATTTTTTCTGTTATCGGTATCGGCCTGATAAGAAAATTTGGCCGATATCTTAAAGCCGATAAATAATTCATTATTTCCTTCAGAGACACTTCAGATGCGCGCTGTTCGTTTGCAGCCTTTTGTGCAATTGTACGTTTTAATATTGTGTTTATTTGATGTATATCTGATTTATATTAGTTAAAAGAGTGCTTCAGTTTACCGGTGATCGTCTTTAGCTCAGCGCACGCAGCTCAAACAGCAGTGCACAACATTAATAACTATGATTGGGAATGTTGTGTATATAACATTCTAATGAGAACATTATTATAATAAAACGTTGTGCATTCTTTGGGTTTAGTTGCTGTGTTTCAGCGCGTTGATATGGGAAGAGCGCATCCACAACAGGATCACACATTCTGACTATAGCACGCAATAACTGCATCATTTTGTACATATATAAGTTGTAATATTATGTTTATGTTGTATTAATATTAATCTCAGGATGCATTTCCTTGAGTTAAATAAGCTGCCAGCAAAACGCTTCAGTTTACCATGTTCATTCAGCTCTTCAGCTTCAGCACGTGCAGCTCAACGGCTGCTATTTAAAACAGTGGTATTAATTTGTTACTTTTTCAAAATCATTGATATATTATTAATAACAACAACCACTTGTATTTTATGTTGAAGTGTTTGGGATGTGGCTTTTAATGATGAGACCTTTTTTGTAATCAGGCTCTCAAAAAGTATATAACAATTTGGATATAGATTTATCGGCCAACATATCGGTTATCGGCTTTCAAAAATAAAGAATAATCGGTTATCCGTATCGGCCAAAATTTTCATATCGGTGCATCCCTAATTACATACTACAGATTAACCTTTGATCAAGTCATATACTTCACACAGAGTTTTGCTCTACATTAACTTATTTCCAGAATTTTCCTCCCCGAGAAGAGCACAGGCAGCATCTGTAAAGGTTACAGGAATATAAGATGATCAGCCACCTACATCACACACATACACATGCTTACTTTATTCTTTTATGGTGCGGTGCTAATAGCTGCTACTCTGCTGCAGAATGTTGTTTGAGTAAGAGAGAGAAAGAGTGATTGTGGATGTTAAATGCTGTTTCTTTTTCACCATAGAACCTGACAGAAGACGTCGGCCCAGAGACTCACGGTACAGGTAGTGACCTCACCTTGCATGCTTCTCCATCCCTTCATAACCTTATCAACTATTATCAAACATAATTTTCTTTTTTGCTGCTGATTTTAAATTTAATTAGAACTTAAAGCGTACTTGATGCTGGAAACTTGCATCATGATGTATATTTTTTTCTTCTACTCAACCATTTAAAACCATTTAAAGTCTGTAGGATTTTAATGCTTTTATTCAGCAAGGATATTGATCATAATTAACAGTAAAGACATGTATAATGTTACAAAAGATGTCTGTAAGAAAAAAATGATGTTCTTTTGAACATTCTATTCATCAAAATGTCTGTGAAAAAATGTATCACAGTTTCCCTCTTATTGGTGAACATCTTACTGGTCGCAAACTTTTAAGAAGCTTGTGTATTTTTACTATAATTCTTAAATTTTTTCATTATAGAAGTAACATTCCTCCAGGTTTTAATATTAAAGCTTGATAAGAGCTCTTTTGAGTTTGCAGGCCATCTTAAAGGGGACATAACACACAGTTTCGGCCAATCTCATGTTAATCTTGAGTACCTATATAGTGGTATTGCATCCTTCATATTTTTGAAGAGTCTTTAGTCTTTATCAGATTTATAAAAGAAAGATACAGCTTTACGATTTTCTCCGAAAACAGCTGAGCTCCTGGAGGCATGCCGTGGGCGGAGCTAAATGAGAATCTAAATCTTTAACAGTGTAAATAACTCAGAACGCATTAAATAGCATAAGTAAGGACATATCCCTGGTTTGAGGGAGGGAATGACTGAAAAAGGACACAAAAAAATAATCATCATCTTTGTGTTGTGTCTGTCTATCTTTTCCAGCCTGCTGCTCCAGAGCCATGCCCCCCAGGAAAAAGAGGAGACCCACTGCTGGAGATGACCTGTCTGCTAAGAAGAGCCGGCAGGATAAGTATGCTCAAAACATTCACCTTTCCATTCATTCACTCATCCATATCTCCAGCCTTTCATCTCTGTCCATTCCATCTGTCCGTTGACCTTCCTCTAATTCACTCACACATACACACTCATCCATCTAGCTAACTTTTTGATTAACAAATAAACTAGGTGTCTGTTAAATCATATCAATTAAGAAATTCTGTATTTATGCACAGAAGGAACTGAATGTTCTTTATAATATATTAAAGCAGCACTATGTAACTTTTTCTGTGTTCAGAATTTGCAAAATGTATATAATGAGCGAGTGCATCATGAATTCATCTTCCAAACTGCATTTTTGTCTTATTCCGAATCACTACGATACACTTATAATAAGTACTTGTATTTGGACTATTGTAGCCTGGTCAGGTTGTCACCGCTGCGGAGTAACACATACCTGTGTGAATTGCCATAGACATAAATTTTGAGAATTAGCTCCGGTTGGAATGTTCTTCCGCGGGATGTGTGCAGTTCTGTTTATTAACCGCTAGAGCGCCAAAAGTTACATAGTGCTGCTTTAATGTCAATAGAAAGTTGCAATTATCATATCTGTTAATTGCACCATCAGATCTCTTTGTGTGGGTGGATTTCTGCCCTCAGAGCATGTGTCTCTTCTTGTTTGTATCAGATGTAGCATGTTCGTGCTTAAATGTGTATACAAATGTGTGTTAATGTGTATTTAAATAGCCTCCACTCAGTCCTTGTCTATTCATTTCAGTGTTTACAGAAAACAGGAGACATTGCAAATCCAGGAAGCCGAAGCTTTTTCTAGCAAAAGATGTCTAGAATGGTTTTATGAATATGCAGGTATGTGGGCAAAATTGTAAGTCATATTGAGTTTATCATAGTACTATGAACTATTGCAAATGTATATCTTTTTGATTTAATTGGTAAGGTCCTAAAAAGAGTATAATCACATCAGAATCTGGTAAGTTGATATAATTTGACTTGATAATGTCTAGAAGGCAGTGAATAATGTCACCTAATTTTAGGCTAGATTTTAATTTTTTTTGGATTCAGAATTCCTTGTGGCTTCAGACACTTTCCAAATGAAGTTAAGATGCAAATAGAATGACTATAAGTATATACTTACTAACATGTATTTGGAATCTTAAGTCACACTTAAATGTCTGAATTTCATTGCATACAAAATAATAAAGTAAAGTCAGATCCTATTAAGTTCAAAGTGCCCTGGCACATTAACATATGAACATGTTCCACAAAGTTTGACAACTAGAAAGTGTCCAAGACTTTTTTGTTTTTATTTTAAATGGAATACCTATTTCTTCATATTTTGAAACCCAAGTTAACAAACTTTTGTTCTGTATTTCTTTAAAATAAATGCCTTGTTTTTAATGTAATGCAAAGACATTTATACATTTTTAATTGTGGCTTAAGTGTCTAAATACTTTTTGGGGCCACTGTATATAATAGTAAATTATTTTTGAATGTGTCGTGTGAATAGGTTGTGATGATGTTTTTGGACCGGACGGGATGGAGAAATTCTGTGAAGACATTGGCGTGGAGCCAGAGAATGTAAGAAAACTAAACGGATCTAATATGATTTGATAGTTTATTCTAAAAATATCTTGCCAGTAGCTTTACATTTTAATGTATGTTTGTATGCAGGTAGTGATGCTGGTATTGGCCTGGAAGCTTGATGCCCAGAGTATGGGTTACTTCACTTTACAGGAGTGGCTCAAGGGAATGGGCTCATTGCAGTATGTCTGGCCAAACATGAACCTTAAATTCATCTACTACCATGCTACTACACGTATTCTCATCCCAATCTTCACTTTTCCGCCATACACAGATGTGACTCTACTGAAAAACTCAGGAACTCTCTAGACTACCTGAGGTCTGTCCTCAATGATGCCACCAGTTTCAAGCTCATTTACCGATATGCCTTCGACTTTGCCAGGGTAAGTGTGTATATGCATTAGGACAGATGATTGATGAACATTAATCATCATCCACTTTAGAAGCTCTGGTCTTCTTTTAATACTTCAACACTATATTTGGTTTTGCCAGTGGCTGTGCATCTGGAACCTTTCTGTGTTTTTTTTTTCTTCCCTGCATGCATGCTGGACACATCACAGTCCTTCAGTTGAGAGATGGTGCTATTTTGGGTTGTTTCACCACTTTGTCTCAAGTATCTCTTGTCCAGATAGTTGCTTTTTTTTCACTCCCTTGGTATGAATTGTAAAGCGACTGGAGCTTTGCTGAGTGAAGCTCTTACTGGAGCCATTCGATAGGGCCAATAAAGAGGAGCAGTACAAATAAATAGCTTGTGGCAACCTTGAATGGATAACATGACATTCATCCTGTCTAGATCAAACAGAATTGTTCATGTCTGGACTCATCTTGTACATTACCAAAGTGTTTTTTCCCAAGGCTAGCAACTTTTTTCAATTGTTTTAAAGGAGAGCGCCGAACACGATTTTGAGTAGCTTGTCCGTGAACTACTGCTCTTGTGTAGTAAATGCTGCTCCATCTGAAAGCACGTGATGGAGATCTACTACTGATTACAGAACCGGCTTTACTGACAAGATGCGCATGACAATCGCATTCGATTAATCGTGCAGCACTAGCGGCCATATTGAGTATTGCATTTTTCACTTTGAATGGGCATGACGCCTCTGCTTGGAGAGCCAAATATTTTCTGAGGTGGTACTTGGCATAAAAAGTTTCAGAACCTCTGGCTTAGAGTATACGCAGTACACCAATTTCTGAAGCGGATACAATCTGGTTTTAAAGGGGTCATATGATGCTTTTTTTAAAGATCATTATTTTGTATATTTGGTGTAACAGAATATGTTGACAGGCTTTAATGTTCAAAAAACACATTCTTTTTCATTTAAAAATGTAAAACAAACTGTAAAAACATGGCAGTACTATGTATTGGATCTCTCAAACGCTTCGTTTTCTACAAAGTCAAGTCAAGTCAAGTCACCTTTATTTATATAGCGCTTTTAACAATACAGATTGTGACAAAGCAACTGAACAGCATTAATTAGGAAAATAGTGTCAATAATGCAAAATGACAATAGTAAACACTAATTTTTCAGTTAAAGACAGTTCATCATTGAATTCAGTGATGTCAACATCCAGCTCAGTTTAAATAATATCTTTGCAATCATGTCAACGATAACGCTGGAAATGAAGTGTCTAGTTCATGTGTACTTATTGGTACACAGAGCAGTTGAGATAAATCAGGCAGGTTATTTGTGAATCTGTCTTTGGTGGCTGGAACAATAGTTCTGCCCGGACGATAACGCGGAGCCATATAGTTAATATTAGTAATACGCAGCATGCACGATACAAGGAAATGGTCAGTAACATCATCGCTTTGAGGTACGATATCTATATCAGTAAGATCAATTCCATGCGATATAATTAAATCTAGCGTATGATTAAAACGATGAGTGGGCCCGGTGACATTTTGCTTTACTCCAAAAGAGTTTATTAGGTCAGTAAACGCAAGTCCTAATGCATCATTTGTATTATCAACGTGAATATTAAAATCTCCGACAATTAGCGCTTTATCAACAGTAATCAATAGGTCTGAGAGGAAATCTGCAGATTCTTTTAGGAAATCTGTATACGGCCCTGGTGGTCTATACACAGTAGCCAGAGCAAGAGATACGATAGATTTCTTTTGCATGTCTGACAGTGTAACATTAAGCATTAGTATTTCAAATGAGTTAAACCTGTATCCTGTCTTCTGAGTAACATTGAGAATATCACTATATATTGTTGCAACACCGCCGCCACGACCAGTCTGACGGGGCTCATGCTTATAATAGTAGCTTGGTGGAGTAGACTCATTTAGACCAATATAATCATTAGGTTTTAGCCAGGTTTCAGTCAAGCAGAGTACATCAAAACGATTATCTGTGATCATTTCATTTACAATAACTGCTTTGGGTGAGAGTGATCTAATGTTTAGGAGCCCAAACTTTAAAAATGGTTTTTGTTCATTTATTTTAAATTGTTCTGGTTTAATCACGATCAGATTTTTTCTAGATCCTGCATTAAATTTATATTTTGACCTCACTATTCGGGGAACAGACACAGTCTTTATAGATTGGACAGCACAAGTACTTCTATCATTTAAGCGGGTAGAACACAAGTCATCAGGACAATTATTTGAGATTTGGCTTACTAGTCACATGGAGCGCAGCGTCCTGGAGATGTTGTCCGACATGAGCTCCGCCCCGACTCTGCTGGGATGCAGACCATCAGCGCGAAACAGCCTAGGACGCTCCCAGAAAAGATTCCAGTTATTAACAAAGAGCAGTTTCTGTTCTTTACACCATGACAATAACCATTCATTTAAAGCAAAAAGCCTACTGAACTTTTCGTGTCCTCGTCGATACGTGGGAAGTGGTCCTGACACGATCGTCGTCACGGGCGATGTGCGGCGCACTGTCTCGATCAGGCTCCCGAAGTCCCTCTTCAGTGTCTCCGTCTGCCGCAGCTTGGTGTCGTTAGCCCCCGCGTGAAGCACGACCGCTCCGGGGCTCTCGGCACCCTTCAGGAT